TGTTCAAAGTTACATGAATTTTTCAACTCTTATTTTAAGTTAATTAGTTCCACTGTGGCTGGTGACTTTTAACAAGCAATATAATGTGTATGACGTCCACAGTTTGGCACAGAAAAGCACAAAAAAGCAAATAAATCGTGGAGGCGCGTGGTAAGTTTGATCATTACCGTCAAAAGAACCTTGACTGGGTATTCCAGAGTGCCTTACCATAGTATCCCACAATTTCCGCATAATGCCAATGAAAATTACCTAACAGTCCCTGAAAATGAAAGCCCCGCAAACACGTCCTATGGGAATTGATTTTTCATCGAAAGAGATATTTTACTCCCGGTTTAACTCGACCTGGATATAAAATTTTAGAAACTTGGATAAAAATTGAATCAGAGATGTGTAAAGTGAATAACAAAGTTCTTTTCTTGAGGAGATTTGCTTGCTGACATTCACACTTCATCTAGATTAAATTGTGGTTTTGAAACAACTTGAGTGGCTTATTTTTGCTAGAGAGCGTATTCTTCGTCCCGAAATCTAGGTTCAGGTTAACAGTTTCGCAGATGAGATGTAGAACTGGGGATACTAGCAAAATGCACAAACCAGATTTCATCTAATTTATTATAAATGTGATAAACTTTAACCAGGTATTTAAACTTTTGTAGCACAAACTTCTCAAAATGAGGTAACTCACGATTTCGGCGTCAGGTTTGGTAATTGAAAAAACACAGGACATGTTAAATTTAGGAATTTGGTCACCGTGCTGCTCTAACTCTGCCCCATTATTGGGTGAGCTGGCACACCTACGTCCCTCTCACTCCCCACCCCGCCCCTTCCCCCCGCCCCACACGTTAGATCCTCCCCTATCGCTGAAGGGGCCGATTAAGCAAAGCTGTTAGGGAGCAAAACTGCCTGAGGTGAGGACAAACCTGCTCAACCGAGAAGGCTATTGGCTGCTTTAACGGCTACGCCAGCCAGTAGCAGTCTGCGCAACTGGTGAGAGGGGCAAGAAGTGCAGTCGAATCGCTTACGAATGCAGTACCCTTGCGTATGCAAACAATAACCCGTTTCAGTATAGTGTTTCGAAGCAAAATTAGAACAATCAAAATATTAATCGCCAATTATTTAATTCAGAAGCGGTCAATTTTAACTTAACTTAGTGTAAATTTAAGCCAACTCTCTAAGGTTGAAATAGGCAGGTAACTAAAATCATCAACTGAAAGAAAGTCGTCCGTTGGAGGTGGATCCGGCACGTATGAAGCACTCGACACATTATTGAGAACTGCGTCGTTGAGCGTGGCAATGTTACCTGCACCCGCCGGGGTTTCACAGTCTTCGCTGTCCATTTCCACAAAATACCTGTTCTGCCATAGTGAACGGCTCGTGCATCAGCGATTCCATCGGAAAGCAAGACGACGATATTCCGGGGTTGGTTGAAATCATAAGGAAACAGTCCTTACTTTTGTGGCCGAAACCATTGTTCGAGGATTCTGCCATGTTTATTGTCAGCCATAATTTGAAAAATTGCCCCCCCCCACCCAATAATCAGACTGATATCGAATTTGGTTCGATTCCTGCAAACTGATTCGGCCAAAATGTAAAGGGCTTTGTTTTTAAGCTTTTGCTACAAAATTAGCTGTTATTGGCCTATGCACAGACGCTTTCCACGGCACACTCATTTGCCCTATTGCAAATAAATCGGTTGTCTTTTGGACGCATGTTCCACTCAGATGTCGATGAATTTTTTAAACTTTTTACAAGTAGCTGCGAAAGGAAATCAGTATGTCCATGTACTTTCCTAAAATTTCACGTATTTTAAACAAAAATTGTCCATTTTAAGTAGTTAAAACAAGTGTAAACTAGGCTCTAGAGAAAAATGGCCGTTAAAATGTGCCGCCCAATCTAACGAAGCCTTTTGCTATTACTTGCGCCAAAAGGCCAATAGTTTGGGGAAGAGCACAGCTTGCAGAAAAAATTTCCAATGGAAAGTGCCGGGTGGTTTATGTGTAGAGAATGACTTCGATGACCCACCCACAGTCGCTTACTTCAATAGTAATGTGTTCATATCACAGGACTTATCTCTTCCACTGGCTTCTTTTTTATGGTGTTCCATGCTCTAAAAATAAATCCCATGTGTTTAACAAAGCCACCCTACTACATTTAGTTACGCAATTTTGTGCGCACTGTGAGAAAACCTATGCCATCAAAAAAAAACTCTGAATAGTTTAGGTAAGGCGCTAATGGTAGGGAACAAATCTGAAGAACAAAATGCCACCATAAGTATTCCCTTTACTCATGAGCTTAAACTACTTCAAACAATATTACATGATTTAATAATCATGAAACAAAATACGCAACAGCTTTTGATAAGAATAACACTTCCATAAGGACAAAATTATTCCTCCGAACCACGAAATGGATTTAAGCACTTTTAAAGACTGACAGAGTCAAACGAAATAAATCAAAGAAACAAAATCGAGATTAGCTAAAATTGTTATGGATAAAGTAATCGAGACTATGAGCCGGAGGATTTTGTGGCTGGCGAAGGTTTAGTGGTTTGTTTGATGACCATGAAATTCGGTAAAATGACCCCTTGACACAATGGAACCCTTGGTGCAGCATCGAGGTCTTATAAGAATTGCTGAAGACCTGATAATTTATCAACGTCACGTCAAAATCCCTAAGTAGAGATCATCCATGAAAAGGCAAACATATGAGTGATTACCAATAATGCATTGCTGCCAAATGGCAACCACTAATATCTCGCTGTATATTAAATTTGCAAACAAAAATAATTTTCGCTGTTAATGCGGAAAGCAATGTTTTAAAAAATTGGACCCGAAATTGGGTCATTAATTGACGTATTGATGAAGCAAATGATGTCAAACACTCGTTTTCTGCTAGGACGAGTGCACTAACACTGACACGAATCAAAGGTTTCTGACTAAACTTAGTCATAGGTAAAGTGTAAGCATTTTCCATAGTTAAGGTTGGTTACTTAGCCAGCAACGCCTTGATTTAAACACTGTTTCGGAAATAAGTTACAAATATAAACCGCTGAAATGTGAGTGCAGAAATACACAGGGGTCTGATCAGTGTTGCAAAGGAAGCGTGATTGATCTAAATACTTTGTGGAAATGAGGTTAGCGGGACGAGTTTAGCTTACTGCTTTAAACTTTTTCTCATCATAATGTGTCTTAAAAATAATCTCCAAAATTTATGACACAAAACGAATAACGGCCAGGTTTTAAAGCTACCTTATAAAATATGTACTCATCGAACAACATCAAGTTCAATGAAGGTGATGATTTAAGCATACTTAATCGCTAGGTTTGCATAGAGCTTCATATCGATCCGAATATGCATAGTTGAAGTCTACAGGCAAAACGATTTTCATTACTTCACTTTTTGGACGAAAAGTCAAGCAAAAAATCACAAGTCAGGAGTAGGTATGTCGTTAAAAACAAAGACTAAATTGTTCCGAAAATAATCCTGAAGTTAGCTCCAGTAAAACTTAAAGCTCGCTAGCAGTACGCGCAGTCACTGGTTTCATTGGCTCTTGGTTACACTTTAACGCATATCAATAAAGTGGGGATAGAAACTTGGAAATTTTGACCTGAAGTCTAATCATGGGAAGAATTCTATTCGCATAAGAAGAGCAAATTTCGTTCGATTAATACCAATGGCCAGACTGGCTGCATTTAATCATGGCGTAACGGCTTTGCTGCTACACTTAAGTAAAGTTGAGTTCAGGTCCTCTGAAACCCTAATGATGGACTTTTCCCGGGTTGTTGTGGCCTAGTAGTACACCGGATACAGGAGCAAAGTATAAGAAAACCTATTTGAAGCCACGGTCTACAATCTACATAAAGAAAAAGGCTATTTGCTGATCAAATAGTAATTGATTAGGGCAAGATCTAAAAAAAACATTAGTCTGTTCCGATTGAGAAAGAGTGCGAAACACATGTCGTTGCGGAAAAAAATTTTGGTCTTGGCCTAATTTCCTTGCCTTAAATGATAACACAAAGTCGAAAAAGACCCAATTAAGCCGAAAAATGCACTTTGGTGACATTCAAATCAAATGACTCGATTAATCAAGTGACTACACAATATCTAACTACATTATCAAAAATTGAAAGAAGATTAAACTAAAGTCACTATATAGGTACTGTGACAACCTAGTAAATCTAGCAAAATTGAACTCGAATTCATTGGTAAAATAATGCTGTGTTTATTGATGAACACTTGATACTTGAAACTGTTGAACTCTTACAAACTAAAATTTTATACATTTTCCATTTATCTTGTCTTAAGCAATATTCACTGCTTCTTCATCTTAAACCATTCCATTCACCTAAACATATATGTACACATGACATGTTGCAGCCGAGGTGTAAACTAAAATAACATATTTTTGAGCAAAGTATCAAATAATAAATTTCGACTTACGGGGACATTAACATGCATTCTGATAGGACAACCTGCCCAAAGAGGATTCTTTCTCGTTAGGAATTTGTGATAAGGGAATGCCGGCAAAATTCAAGTAGAATATACATATCAAGATCAGAAGATGTCATAAAATGTTTACTCCTATGATTTGGAATAAACATCCCTAGCGGGATTAGCAATTTTCAAAACATGGGATTAAGAGTTAGTTCATGAAATTCGATAATATAAAAATCTATGGAAACAGATTGTTCTAAAGAAAATAAAAAAAATGGTATATTCCCCGTTAATATAAAATCATAGAAAAATCCAACTAAAATGAGCACTTATTTCGGGACTTCGAAAAACTAACTAAATATGGAATCTGCAATACCAAAATATTTAGACTGTAACTATTTCACGAGCTGCGTAATTTTACAAAAAAACATTGATCTCACTGATAATTAATTTTGTGCATCCAGTGATGTAGATCTCATCTTTGTTTGAAGTTATTACTACGAGGTGTGATCAACCGTTTAGTGTTTTAATACAAGCAGGTTTCGCGTAGCTTGTTCGCACGATAGAAGATGAGTTACGGGCGCTCGCCTCCGCGTATTGATGGGATGGTTTCTCTAAAAGTGGATAATTTGGCATATCGTACGACAGTCGAGGATCTTCGCAGAGTGTTTACTCGTTATGGGGATGTTGGTACGACTAAGTAAATTCAAGTTATTTCATTTTCTAGGTGATATTTATATCCCTCGGAACCCATTTTCAATGGACAGTAGGGGCTTTGCATTTGTTAGATATTACAATGACCGTGATGCCGACGACGCTATTCGTGCTATGGACGGCCGCAAGATTGATGGCAGAGAAATTCGTGTCCAGCGCGCAATGTATGGGAGGCCTAATTCTCGAAGGCGGGGAAGGTACTAATCACTTAACAGTATTCTCAAGTCTCGGGATTCACTTTTGCTTTACTGCTTTAAAAATTTGTAGACGGTCACCCTCCCCTAGACGTCGGCGCTCAAGGTCTTACTCCCCACGTCGTAGATCGTCACGGGATCGCTATGACGACGATGATTATAGAAGAGAAAAATATCGTGACAGCAGATCTCGCTCTCGAGATCGTTATTAATTAACTCATTTTATGCCCTTATGTACTAAATTGTCAATATTGTGTTTTCTTTGGCTTCTAGTGAGGACCCCAGGGGACCTGTAAGGTGTATCTACGTATCTCTGAATGAGTTCGGCGAAGCTGCTTGCCGAATGTTTCCAGTCACAGCAAGCTCTTGCCGTTGTAAGATGCTGACAGGAGCTGGTAGTGCCACCTTTCAGTTCGGGGCTAGATCCAAAAAGGTGGATATGCTGATTGGGGTTGCTAGCGGATAATGTTGCTGGGTGTTTGCTCTGGTGCAGGTCGTGGTGTCTCGTGCAGGTGCTTCATTCAGGATTAAACTGTCAGTCCCACCAGCAGATGGCAGATCACTGTCTTCGGTGGTGACGCCATAGATGAGTTCGAGTCGACTTCGCCGTCGCTGCCACACAGTTGACAACTGAACTGGTTCTCCGCAAAGCAGGTTGGCTGCTGCTGTGCGACTCGGTTAGTGTCAAAAGGCTGATAATTGGTGTCTGGTGCAGGCGAGCGGCTGCATGCGTCTAGCTGTGCACTCTGCTGACTCGAATGAGGCGTGGTTGCCGCAGCAGCTGATGCAGTTAGTTCCCGTTCAGTCAACCGGTGAGGTCACTTTTTAAGTAAACCATTTAAAACACCCTTATGGATGGCATTGCACCCACCATTATTAGGTTATTTGTTATTTGTTGTAATAAATTCCATGTGATCCTTTAGCCAGTCTTGCCCCTAAGAGTTTGACATTTTCCAGTAAATGTTCACTCACTAGTGCTTCTCGTCAAATGTCCCGCTTCTCGGGGCCTTCGATTCACGGGCTGTGGGTTGCCTCGGATGTTTGGCGAAAGTTACATTGTGCCATGTCTGGGCTTTTTGACTATGTGGCTCTCGCTTCTTTATGAAATCTAGTTTCAGCTGTAGCTGCGATACCTGGTGATTTGACAAAATACTTTGTACCATCCTAAATACGTGAAATAGGGCTGTCTTGTTATTCGACTAGACCCGCAGAAGGGTTTGTGAGTATACTTTCATGTTTGGAGTTCGCTCATGTCGCTTTACCTTTGTACTATCGACCAACTACTTCCACGACAGCAGCTGGAACTCCTAGGATTCTAGTGTGAGCTTTGAAAATGCATAGACGAAGCATTTGAGTCGTTGGAAGCTTATTTTGGCTAGGTGTGGGCTTGGCAAACGGAGAGAGCCAATGTTTAAATCCAGTTGGACACGCCTTTGCGGTGTTGTTTGACAGTTGCGTGTGTTGCTTGTCGTCGTTGTCATCATCTCGAAATAAGCGTTCTTGTGAAGTTTCTGTTCTCGCAGTAGTGTTGTTTCTCAAAAATAGTCGAATTAAAACTCGGTATTCGGCCCCATATCACAAGGCCAACTTCGTATCTTTTACGGGTCTGTTGATTTGGTTGCTGCGAAGTCAGACGTTGTTTAAGAATTTCATGTGACTTGCGTATGGTACATCGTAATGCCCTCATAAATCGAGTAAACATGAGAATTTGACTGTAATAAAGCTGTGTCTTGGCGGTATTTTGATTCTCTTTCACAGAGCCGGCGGTTTTCGTCACGTTTGACCAAACCTAGGCTGTGCAGACAAATTTGGATGTCTCTTAGCGATTCAGTTGTGTCGTTGGTTATTCCGACAATACGAGCTAGTGGTTGTGGTCGTTTGGCAGTTGGCAGAGTAGTTGGTGCTAAGGTGGTAGGCGTTTTGTATTTAAGATGTCGGTGGACGTAGTGGACTTGGAATTCAGTATCGATGTACTTTTTTAGGAATCGGACTCTTAAGTCCACATATTCTCTTGCAGGCGTGATGCCAACAGCAGTGAGGTTTTAATTTTCACATTGGGTCTTCCCTGTTTATGTGAACATTCAAAAACTGTGTTCTCTGCTTACGTGTGTATGGCATCCAGCAAATGTCAATAACTGGGATGATTAGAAGAGAATTTTTATTACTAGGCTGAAGATAAATGAGGCAATTGTGGTGTGGATTTAGAGACTGTAGTGTGTAGGATTTCTGAGAACTCTGCACTTCGATACTTCACACAAGTGATGACTGTATTGAGGCGGTGTCAGGTGATGTCCACGTGTGTTTCAGTAGCGTAGTGAGAATTGACAGTTGCAAACTCAGCTGTGATTCTGAAGTCTGGCCGTAATGAGTATTGCTGCATACAAGTAATCACTGCGCATGAAACCCGATAGAGGGAAAATCTATGTCTTGAAAATGCGTGTCTCGTTAGTTCCGCTTACACTTCATTCAGTGTTTTGTTTGGGTACAAGGAGACTCTCGTAGCAGAACGTTGAGGCGTGTTCTGTTTCAGTGTCTTAATTTTGCAGCTCAAATGAATAAGCCACAAGCAAATATTCCCTGAAAAACATTCTATCATGTAATTGTTTGCCTCCAATAGTCCAACATCCGTAAGACATGTGGGTTTTCGCGATGATCGGGTGGTCGTTTGCATATTTCCTCATCAATGACTAGCTTGCTTTGGGACTTATATCTACAAGATACCTACTGTTCTTTGCGTGAACTGAGGCCTATTTTGTAGTATTCTTTTCTGGAAAAAGCAGCACATGATTCGGCTGTTCGCCTCTTTCTTTCTGCCGATCTTATTGTTGGAGTAGATTGCAATGGCTGCCCACCGAACACCTTCATATTTCTTCATGGATTAACGCATCTGCGTTCATATGTAGAAGGCAAGAAAGTAGATTTTCCAAATGGCTCAAATATGCATTTTTGAGTGAGATTAGGAGCTGGGAAGTGCAATCACAGAACGATTACTAAGAGCAGTTAAATTAGGACATCCAATCCAAGGATCTGTTTGCGTAAATTCTGCAGCTGCGTCATAGGCAACTTCAAAGTGGTACGCGTGTAACTGGGAGGAGTGAAGCAGTGACTATAAGGACAAGAAGAACAGTTGTAAAAGGGGCTTCGAGGCACAAGGAATGGATGTTCGGGGAGAGTGTGGGAATGGGCATGGGGTGTGGGGGTCGCGATGGGCGTATTTCTCAACGTGAACTAAAATTACAGCCAGATGCCTATAGGCATGCCATCATCGTCCGACTCTTGAATGGTGGAGCGTATACGGGCGAGAATGTTGGAGAAGCGGTCACGTCCTCCGTAATCAATATCACCGCACTCCCAAGCGGACCTTCGCCAGTCGGGTGGTGGTGGATAGGGGCGGTGACGATCGCAAAAGTATTCAGATTCCTTCGGAAGCTAAAAGAGTTGCTACCTGCGTAAATTTGCAAGCCGAATATTTCACTACTACTATCGTAATTGGTCCCCAACTCACTTTATATCACGTTCGAAGTAGCTAACTTAACGTGACGCGAGCTTATCTCGACAGTCTTTGGAGCTCGTGGCGTGGCGTAATCACGGCAGCTACAATCGACATTGATTACTGCGGTATACTAATATTATATCCGCGTCAGCCTGGAATCTATGTGTAATCTCCACTCTACAAGATTTGCGGCGAGGATAGGTCAACTTGGGTATCTAAACAAAGTTTTCTTCCCTCACAAATAGATCATTACCTATTCACGCGGGTGACGGACCACAATAATAGCGGTTACATGAAGTATTAAGTAATGGTAGGGCATGCAAACTGGTGATCGGTTTGTGTCGCGGGTCTGCTGTGACTCTGTTGGTTGGTTATTTTGATTAGCCCACTTGTAGCACATTCTCCAAGAACGACGGCGCAAGAGGAACTGCATGGCTTGCTGAAAACGGTCTGGACCAGCAATGCAACTAATCATAATCATTACGAGCCGCACCCGTTTTCGATAGCGGGCCGTGCCGATGTCATTGTAATGTGATTGCACATTTCAGTTTTTGCGCATTTTGCAAAAATGAGGGCAATTTAAGAACCACGGAGCCGTCTCTAAACACGATCTTGTGAACATTTTACCGTAACATTCCTTTCTCTTGCGTTTGCATTTGATGAGTTCAATACAATGAACCAGGCTTACAGAAACGCAGAGCAACACGGCTTATAGGTGCGCGTAAAAGTCGTAAAATGGTCTAAACATTCAAATCGATTGTGCCTCGGATGGATTCAATATCGCTTAAATCTGTTGAAGTCACCTCCCAACCATATAATCAGCCTTACATTGCTGAAATTTATGTAAGCATCAGAGTCTTCGCATACTCGTACGAGAGTAAATAGATGACGCAGAAGCTTTTCTTCGGCTCTCCTGCCGGTGTTAAGGCCTTCTGTCACCATTTGGCGATATAGGGGCACTGAATCCCCGATGAAGTGGGTCCACAAACTGTCTGCTCCATCGTAGCTCTCTTAGACATTCCGGACACATCGGCTTAGGTA